GTAGTATTATTTTGGGGTTAATTAACTTTCATTCTCAGGTCAATTGTTATAGCTTGGTTATATTTGCACATTTCTGCACTGCATAGCAAAGGTGTGGTCTAACAGTCTGCTCAGCATCAGGATTCAGCGAGTGTTGCATAGGCAGAACTGGTCATTGATGACAAATCTAAATATTTTGGAGCCTAATAAAATAGAAAAGCCAGTTAATAGGCTRAATAGCTATCAGCAGGTTATTTGAYAAARYCATTTTCACCAAAGCTGGTAGTTTGTTGTTTTTTTTATTTTTAAATTATTGTTTTTATTGTTTATATATTTGTTTTTACATGATTTTAGTAGGAACATTGCTGTATGTTTGCAATATGATTTGTTGCTGTTTTAAGAATTAAATATTTATTAGATTTTGTCTATTATTTACAGTAAAATGATATAAATTAAAGCTCCTTTTTCACCTTTGTGTTGAGGTTTCATATAGTCTAGAGAACTTGGTTGCATTTTTCAGATTCAATAATTTCTGCTAGAAAGGCAGGCTACTGATTTCAGTAATTTATATTGAAAGGGATTTCTGAAGCCTATTTTTCTGAAATTATTTGGCTCTTCACTAATCTATGTATTTTCCTCTGTTACAGGAGTTAAAGATGTGATTGTTTGGGGAAATATTACTGGCTCTAACTACATTGATTTGTCACATGCAAAACTTTATGGATATGACTGTGCTATTTGGGGACCCCCTACTTATCCACGTTCTTTGTTGAATATGATTCGTGATAGGTACAGTACAGATTTATTTATTTAAAGTAAAACAAAAGAACTGCTTTTAATCCATGTTTATCTGACCTGTGTAATAAAACATCAAGAAAGGTTTTGTTTTTAAGAATTGTCTTTACTGATTGTCACTGTACATGAAGGAAAACACAATTTGAGGTGGTCTATCTGCAAAAGAAGTTGAGTAGTTCCTAGTGTTATACATCATGGTTCTGACTTTCCTGCCATCTTTGTTTATAACTATTTTTCCTACATTTTAAGTGAGTTTTTCTTGTATCCTATCATGAACACTTTATAAGAAGTAATGAAAGTCTGGGTAGTGATTTCGATAGCTAGTTTGCATGAAGAAACTTTGAAGTAGTATTAAACAGGAATCTGTTCCTGGATTAGAGGGAATTGGCCTGAGCATACGAACTGTCAGTTCCCCGAAACAGATGATTTGTTAACCCATTTGAAAAGGATACCTGGCAGCTAGATAGCTTCCTGTGGAGAGAACAGTAGCAGAGAAAGGGTGGGTGCAGTGAGAGTGCAGCAGGTGTGACACGCCCAGGTCTGTCTATCTAGAGCTCCCACTCTGCTCTAAACTTGGCATTTACTGGAGAGCAGACCTTTCTTTTGTCCTGTGATTGTACTGTGCCTAGCACAGGGAGATTATGGTTTGTGGCTGGGTTCTTACATAAGGCTGTAATAACTATGAATTACAGTAATAATAGAGGTTATGACTTTCACAGTAGTACTAGTAGTTTCTCAAAGTAGTACTTATTACTTCTAGAGCTACTTTTTGTTTGACCTTTTTTATTTTCTCTGTCTGTAAACACTTTGACTTCAGCAGTGAAGTCTGAGTAAGTTTTTACTATTTTCTTTTCTAGGATTTAGTTTTTTTTCTCTAGGAAACTACTCTTCCTGCAATCATCTTAGTTTTTCATCCCTTTTTTCCCCATTTTTTTGTTGGTAGTGAATGGATCCATTCAGAAATCCTATCTGCACAGAGTACACTGAGTTCCCAGGTGTCTCATTGTACAGGAATGTTGCCTGCTCATGCAGTAGCCACTGTACTGCAGTACTGGTACCATGACTCTCCTTCTGATGAGATCGTTTCTGTGGGAATACTTAGTGAAGGTAAATCCATTTTTTGCTTCACATATTCTCTTGTAGCTTTGCCCTACAAATTATAGCCTTGCCCTATCTCTAATATTATTTTTAATCAATATTTTTAATTTAATAAAAGCTTGTAAAACAAATCATGTGAGGCTAAGAGTTTGTTTCATCATAAGAACTTCCAAATCTAACAGCTTGTGATAATGCTCACTTTTTACAGGCATCTCTTGGGTTAATACTGTTTTTATGAAGATCATGCCTTACTCTTTTAGTTTAAATGCTTTTCTGATGTATGTTTTTTGTGCAGGAGCTCTTTATAGTTCTTAGAGCCTAGACTATAAAAGTGTATTCTTCTTGTGCAGTTATGTGAACAAATAAATAGAACCTTTCACAGTGGCCATTTAACCCTTTTATGAAATAAATATCTTTTCCCCTTTTTTAAGATGTACAACTGGTACAGCAATTGTGTTACAATGCAGGAAAGACACCTGTTGGATATGGTCCAGAGCAGGGACACATAAAATTATCATAGGGATGAACATCTTTCTTACAAAAAGAGGCTGAGAGAGTTGAGGTTGTTCAGCCTGGAGAAGAGAAGGCTCTGGGGAGGCCTTAAAGCACCTTCCAATCCTTAAAAGTAATTGCAAAAAAGATGGGAATAAACGTTTTGGGAGGGCCTGTTGCAATAGGACAAGGGTTAATGGATTTAAAGTGGAGGAGTGTCAATTTAGATTAGATTTAAATACATTTTTTACAGTGAGTGTGGTAAGACACTGGAAGAGGCTGCCCAGAAAGGTGGGAGATGCTCCAACCAAGGGAACTTTTAAGGTCAAGTTGAATGGGGCTCAGATACATTTGAAGATGTCCCTGCCCATCAGGGCAGGAGGGTTGAACTAGAGACCTTTTGACAGTCCCTTGCTACCCAAACTAGTCTGATGCTAGGATTCATGTACATGTACCTAAAGTACAAAGTTACAGTAAAAGGGACATTCTCTTTTGAACTGTAGACTGAAAAAGGCAGTCTCCATTTATACTGAGATCTTCTAGTTACAGACTTTTACAAGTCTGTAGGACTGGGTTGAAGCTGGTGAGGATGTAATCAGAAATAACACGTTCTGTCATGTTTTTCCCCTTTTCTTCAGGTCAGTTTTGCATTCCTGAAGAAATTATCTTCTCTATGCCAGTGAGGTTCCAGAATGGTAACTGGGAAGTCATCACAGAATTAGAAATTAATGAAACGACCCAAAAAGTTCTAGAACGTTTATCCCACGAGCTGGTTCAGGTAAGGATTTCTTGTGTCTCATGTGTGCCCATTCTGCCATCTATGGGCACGTTGTGACACCACTTTGAACACTGAGACCTTGACTGTTAGACGTACCAACTACACACAACTTATGCATGGTAAAGACCAGATATTTATAAGTGTAAGGTAGTATTTATGCATTGAAATGGACAACTGTTCTTCTGCGCAAAAAGGAGATGATAAAATAAATTTACCTATGTAAAGTATAAAATTTGCACTCCAAAGTTCAGCCCGCAAAACAGATGTATTGCCTTTAATTTAATGTTTCTAAATTCTATGTTGATTTTGCTTATGTGGTATTGAGAGTATTTCCATGCCAGAAGACATATATTTTGGCATTTTTATGGCTGTGACTCTGCATTAATGAAGGCCAGACCTTACTAGAGTTAAAATACAAAATTATTGAGCACTAATTTAATAATGAATTTCTTGTCACTTAGTGAGGCAAAAAGAATTTATTTTTACTATTGAAACACTAAAAAATACTGTTTCCAAACTCTACATTCTAGCTTCAATTAGATTTTGTGATCTTCAGTCATACTAGTAATGTGTAAGAATTATTTTGTTTTAACGTATTTTAAGCTTGTGCTAGAATCATAGATTAAAAGAATGGGTGGTATTAAAAGTGCTTTTTCTTCCATTTAGGAAAAGCTCGTTGCACTAAAGGAAATAGAAGAAATGCGTCCATATGAAGCAGAATAAAATCTCCACATCTCCCAAGTGTTTCTGTGCTGCTTTTCCTATTTAACTTGCTTTTCAAGTTCTCTGCCCTCATTCATCAGAATAAGAACAGATGAACATGGAAGCATGTTTTAGTTTTGTTTTTTCACTTTTTCTCTATTCTCAGCTTGTGAAATTCCTGCACTTTTCCAATGTCCTTGCCATTTCTTTTTATTTTTCATTCCTGCAGATCTTTTCCCTAGTTTGTTTTCTTTGTCCCTTCCTTCAATTTCTTTCCAGTGCTTTTATATCAGCCCTTTCTGTACTATGAGCTGTTTTTCTCTATTAAGGGCAGGCTGAAGAATGAGGAAACCATTTGGACCTTGATGCCCAGAGCTTCTAGTGAGCTCATAAGCCTTTTGGCTATCCATGCTTGTTTCTTGGGAAAGGACTACAGACACAATAAGATATTCTTGATGAATGCAGAATTTAATTATTCAGCTAATCATGACCTTGTTTAAGCCAGACAGGATTTTTCCAATTAGGTAAGAGTGTCCTTCCCTGTCTGCTCTCCACTTGTGTGGAGCTGCTGTTATGCAGAGCTGTCCCATTCCTCTTGTGTCAGCATTAAACACTAAGCAGAGGCTTTCCCACTGCTAGCAGAATTTTGCTTGGTTGTGTCTTCTCTTGTGATATCAGTATCAGGTGTTCAAGTATTCCTGAAGTGCCCTGCTTATCTCCTTGCATGTGGAAATGTTTTAGGAGGCTAGCAAAAATAGCTTTTTTTTTTTTTTTTTTTTTTTTTTTATAAGAATGGAAATCTTCCCTATTGGGTCACTTTAGTTAGAGTTGTCTGGATGAGAAAACACTGGATATTCCCACATTAAAATAAAGTTTCCATTGCTCAAAAGAGCAAACTACAAAAAAAGTCTGAGCATTGCTGTAGCTTTTGCAGTATTTTCCTCATTAAAAAAAMCCCAGGAAGTCTCTAGRTGGAAAAATATTTCAAAACCAGTTWTTTATTTMATGGGTTTCAAGGGCATACTCATGTGTTTTAAGTCAACCATAATTAAATTATTTTCTAAATAAAATTGTTGTGGAGTCTGTTTCACTTGCATGTTTTTGGTGTCTTAAGTGATGGAGACTGTGTTAATGAAACATTACTCGCTAATTTTTTATCAGATATTTTTAAAGCAAAATACAAAGCTTCCCATTCTTTGAATCAGTTATGTATAGTTGCAATAAATTCTTTATTTGTGTTCAAATTGAGGTTCAAGCTTTGAATAGGGGTAGACTTCTTATATGAGAAGAACTGTATTTGTTACTGGCTAGGACAGGATGAGAGGGGTGTCTCAATGGTCTTAGAAAGAGGAGCTTAGAAAACTCAGGTATCACAAGGGAGCTGGAAGAATGTGGAATTTTATGTGAAATGTAAATAGGAAAGCAATCTTTAGAGGAACTGAGATATTGTTATAAGTATTCTTTATGGAAGAGTTCACATAGAAATTGTGGAGACGTGTTGTAAAAAGTTTTGAAGGAAGGGCATAGGAATCATTTGTTTCATGAGGAAGTGATCTCCAGGAAATTGGTTTTTAGTAGAGTATGCACAGATCAGCTAAGTTTCTGAGGAGCATCTGGAGGCAAGTGTCTCAAGGGAGCATAACAGAGAGGGATGCTACTGGTCTCTACAAAGCACCTGGTTTCTCTATGGCTCCTTCTCCAAGACGTAAGAGCAAAAGTTCATTTCTCTAATGTGTATTTACCTTCAGGCTTTTTCTATATGTATAGGCTTTAGCAGTCTTACTCGTTGAATTATTTTATTCTGCCTGTGGAGATTGTTCAAACAAACTGCAGCTCAAGCACCAGCACTTTCCAGCTGTTAATGAAAAGGAAAATAACTGTTCCTGTAATATATAAGTAGGCTTATTGGACTTTGGAGTCACCATCTGAAAACCTTTCTTCTCAGAGGCTGGGAGTAGAAAGTAAAAAAAAAACTGTTTGGGATGTCTCATGTATTCTAAATTATTCTAACTGGATTTGTCTAGAGGTCTGCAGGGAAGTTCAGGTCTTCCCTCATGGAAGAATAAGGGAATGGAAAAGTTTCTTTTTCTAGCTTTTGCCAAGGAGAGAAAGAAAGAATAAAAATAATAGGAAAGCTAAAATATGATAACATATTCAAAGTTGATTACAGTTTTAACACACTAAGTTTTGTTTTCTGTAAGTAATAAGCAATTTCTGGTACACATTTTTGCACAAGTTACTAAGTAATGTTATGTATACAGGATATTCATGGTATTAATGACTTCTACACCTGGGTACTCAAGTAACTGTTGAAAAATTTATGAAAAAGGGCTTTAAGCTAAATGTATGTGTCTTACAAATGTTATATATAGATTCCTCATAAACCCTAGCATTGGGATGTACTGAAGAGCTTTCTGGTTGGTCTGAGTATTCTTATTCTAGGACATTACCACTAGGGCTTACTATTTTTCTTTGTATAGCTTCCCCAACTCTTTGTTACAGCACACTGTGCTTTCTGCGTTACCGTGTCAGCTTCCACCTCATTTTCAGTTTCTATAGTAACACTGTTTCTCAGCAACTGGGAGATGCTTAGTAAAGGCCCCTCAATTTAGCAGTATTGCACTCCAATCAAAAAAAAATTGCTTTGAAACAAAGATCAAAGAAGTTTTATCTTTAATAATTCAGGATATTTATTACTAATTAATTAGTGTTCTCTGTTTTGACTGCTCAGACAATTACCTGATACTTTGATCTGGGCCTTTGCTAGGCATTTGTTGTGAGCAGCTTTAATTTAAAAGCAAAACATTTAGAGCTGTGTCTTGAAGTCAACTTTTAAGTGCTGTGAAAATACTGGACATCTCTGGTGGTTCCATCTGACTTCTGGACCTTTAGTAATGACAGGAAGGTAAGCACAGCTACTGTATTTAAGAAGAGACAATAATTTTGGCCTTTGAACAAAACATGGAATGTTTTCACCCTTCATAGGAAACAAAAGTAATTGTAGGTTCTTTTTTTGCATATTTAAAATGTTGATCATATGTTGTCTGATTTCAAAAGAAGAAAAGTCTGTGATCAAGTCAATTGATCTGTTGGGAGATTTCTGCCTTAATTCATGTGGCTTGTCTTTCTCTGTACTTTAATTCAATTATGTAGCATGTTTCAAATTGCATTTTATTTGCTAAAGTACATATTCTGGGAACCTGTAAGGCAAACAAATTACATATAAGTAATTAAATATTACTTTTCTTTCACATTCCACTAGAATTCAAGAAAAATAGTCTTGTTCTACACATGAGTATTCATGTTAATGGGACCAGGATTTATAATTGTAACCTTTTATTTCCTGTACATAACTTTATTTTTTTGTTTGTTTGTTTGTTTTCTTAAGTGTTTTTCATTATTAAAGCTCACAAGTTTCTGAAGTATAACACACAGGCTGAAGTAGTGTATCAATGAACAAAGTTACTTCAGATTTCATGGGTGGCAGATAGTGCTTCTACTTTAATATTGTGTTCATGTGGTGACACAAAAGTAGATTCTGTTCATTTCACCCAGGCAGTCCTACAGCAGTCAAGATCTGAACCGTTCATAGAGTTTTGTTTATGAAAATACATTGTATTTTCATACTGTACATACATTAATAATGTCTTTTGTAAGTCTTTGGAGGGAGTGTTCATAGATATGATCCTGTATAATGATGGCCAGTTTGGTAAAACACATAAACACATGCTTAACTTTGACTTTGCTTGAATACCCTAGTACAAGGCTGTAGAATGTTTTATCATATGGGTAATTTAAATGTTAGACGTGCTGTACTGGATAGGGATCTGGTCATCTTACAGTAAGTATCAAGCACTCAGAGATTATGCAGGCTGTATAACTCAGTAAGTCAGTGGATCTGTTCTCACTTGAGTGAGTCAATTCTAATGAGTTCTAATTTAAGTGAGTTTAACMTGGATATTTTTACACTCATCCATTTTCTTTATTTTCTGTACCTCTGGTACAGAGGAAAAAAAAAAGAGGCAAGCTGTGTGCTTGTAAGTCTGCCTTCTAGGTTACTACATGTAGCTTTCACTAAACACTAATGTTTAATTCATTGCTTAGTATCTTCTGATTTAATTGATTTCCATACATGGACTTTTCTGTGATGCTAAGCAGAAGCACCTACTACTGCAGCTATTTTAGGAGCAGTTATATCATATTTTCATATATATTGCATATGGATAGGTATCTATTGGTAAAATTACATGCTTGTGTAAATGCTGGGCAGAGCTGTAGTCTTACAGAACCCTTAGTAAGGAAGAAAATAGAATAGTGGAAAAGAAACATAGAAAGTCTTTCAAACAAGGACTTCAGTAAAAACTGTGGCATTGTAGTCCTGAATGAAAAGGACTATTAAAGCAAATCTGTATCCCAGTATTTTAAGTACTTAAATTTAGGCTATTTAGGGACTGAAACACAAAGTTGCAGCTTTCACCAATTAAAATAGTGAGGAGCATATTTATGGTAGACTCAATAGTTTTAGATGATTGAATATTTATGCCTCATAATTGGTAAGTATTTTGTCATGTTTCTGACAAATGATCAATGATTKTCACTGAAAAAAGTGTAATAAGTGAACTTTTGCTTAAGTTCAGATTGAACACCAAATTTATTGTTTAAGTTTTAGATCATTTTCAACTATCTAATTTTTGTTTATGCTAGCAAAATTTCCTTTTTTTCTCCACAATAAATCATATAGATGGTCTTTGAAATCTTGTGCAACTTAGATTCATCATACCTAGCGTTTTGCAACTGCAATCTTAACTGAAAGATTGTTACTACAGTTAATTCTTATTTATATTTTTGTGTTTGGAAATACAACATAGTTTAGTGCATCAATGAAATAAATCCTATGGGGAGACACTCCATTTCCATTCTTACAGGCACATAGCTACTTTTGCTTTCAGAGTTTAAATAAGTAGATTCATGGTTAAGCTTCCTTTTTCCCTTCCTTATCAGGTCAATAATAAATAATGGCAGCTCAGCCTAAAACTTTAGTTCTGCTTGAAAATTCTAGAAACTGCTTGTGAGTAATTGTGATCGATAAATCTTGGCAAGAGTCTTGTGTAAAGAAATGCACTCTGTGACCTGAAATAGTACACTATGGACTGTGTAGTAAACATTGGACTCTTAATTGTGAAAGATCCCATTTCCTGTACTTAAAACTGTTTTGAGGATTGGTTTTGCCCTGCTAAAATTTTGCAGTCACTTGAATTATCCCYACTTTATGCTGAGYRGAGAGCTTGCAATTTGCTGGCATTTCTCTGCATGTGGCACCAAAACTATTTTGGTTTATGTAATTGTRTTTAATTTCTGAAATGCATCCAGTAAATTGTTCAGATGAGAAGGTTTAATTTGAATGATTCGGTATGTCTCTGTCTAGAATATATGGTTTTACACTTTGGTTTCTTTTGTTGTAGAATGCCTAATGCCATCTGTTCATTTCAAATGGATCCAGATTTGTGGGGTAAGGATTTTTCTCATTTTTCCCCAACTTTTCTCAAAAAAGCATTTCCATGTCTTTTTGAACAGAAACTACTGAGYTTAATGAAATCATGCCACCTTGAGAATGTCTGTGCATTAGCACATAAATTACAAATTACACATCTGTGATGCCCTGCCCTTATTGTTAGATCTGTCCTGGCTCCTTCCTTGCCATTGTCACATTGGCTTCTTATGGAATGGTCAGGCACAAGGGGGCYGTGTTCCC